AATTTCAATCATGGAAGGCAGCCTTGTCAGATCCCCATTTGTCAATAGTTCTGATGTGAACCAATGCTCAAAATTATTTTTTTTTCTTTCTTTTGTCTTTTGAGGTAGGGTCTACCTATGCAGTTCAGGCTGGCCTTGAACTCACTTTGTACTGCAGGCTGGCCTTAAACTTGCAGTGATCCTCCTGCCTCAGCCTTCCAAGTGCTGGGACTACAGGCATGTGCCACCATGCTCAGATCAACTCAAAATAATTTTCATCAAATAAACAAGACCATGCACTTTTTTTCAGCGGGGGGGGGGGGCATGTAATTTTACTTTATTTAATAAACATTAAGACCCTATGTCAAAGCAGAAGGATGGGGATAAGTTTGAAACGGGATCAAAGCAGAAGGATGGGAAAGTTTGAAACGGGATCAACTTCTTAAAGTGGGAGTTTAATAATAAACATTTTCATATGATGAAAATTCTTACTTTCTTACAAAACCTTGTAAATGGGGCTGGGGATATAGCTCAGTGGCATAAGCGCCTGCCTGGCAAGTGCAAGCTCATGAGTTTGATCCCCTGTACTGCAATCAAAACAAAACAAAAATAAAAACAAAAAACCTTGTAATTGACAGTTCAGAAAATGAAAATTCCATTTAATCTTATTAGCTCCCACATCTCTAACCCAGATCATTCTCCTAAGCTACAAACAGTATTTCCTTGGAATCACAGACAGTCCCACTGTACATATGGCAAATCCGTGCTCACTTTAGTATCAGCTCAAGCATCAGCTCCTCAGTAAAGCCTTGCAGCACCTTCCCTAACACAGACTTATTAAAAAGTCACTGTATGACATAACTTTATATCAAAGACAAAAAATCAAAAGCCACCTTAGCAAAAACAGTTTAAAATGCAGTGGGGGTGGGAAGACTAGAGGGCATGAGAACGAAGGAAGAGAAGAAGGGACCAGTACAATGCAACAGGCAGGAGTGGGGTTTGCTACTACAGATGGATGAACAGAAGCTGGCTAGGTGACAAAGTTTTGACATAATCTTCTGTTGTTTCCTTTGGGTGAGGGAGTGAGAAGGAGAATTTCAAACAGAAGTAAGACACAGGCCAGCTTGTGCTTTGGGGCCAGGGATATAGCTCTGGGGCACAAGCGCCTGCCTGGCAAGCGCAAGGTCCTGAGTTCGATTCCCAGTACCCACCCCACAAAAAAAGTTTGTGCTTTGGCCTGCTGAGAGGCAGGGCTAGTTAGTGAAGAGGTTAAAACGGCAGGCAGATGCCAGAATTTTAGGAACAAGAATTATAGGTTTGTTAACATTTTTTTCTCAGTAATTACTTGCTTACAATACTAGGATAGGACTGCTAAAATGCACTTTCCCCGTGCTTGCTTCGGTAGCACATACACTGTACTAAAATCTACTTTCCACTTTTATACCTAGATTTAAATCACACATTTTCCTAAGTCATTTTTCAGAAACAAGACATTACCACTGAAAATAAAAGCTCTATTTTAACGACATTTAGGACTAGGGATATAGCTCAGCAGCACAAGTACCTGCCTGGTAAGTGCAAGGTCCTGAGTTTGATTCCCAGTACCAAAAAACAAAAACGAAAACTACATTTAGTCTTACACTAAGACAGTTCAACAGTCTCATCACAATCATAAAATGTTAATTATTACTTCTATGAGAAAGGAATCTCTGAAGAGATCGTTGTGAGTTCGAGGCCAGCCTGGGCTACAAAGTGAGCTCAAGGCCAACCTGAACTGCACAGTGAGATCCTGCCTCAAAAAGACAAAAAAAAAAAAAAGAAAAGGAATCTTTGAAAAGAAAAAAATGTGTACAGTTCTTTTCTCTAGTCAAAGCATTTTCACATGTATCCTCACTTTATAACACACTACTGAGAGAAGGTAAGGCTAACAATATGTCTTAAAGACTGGGAAAAGTGAAAGAGGAAAATACATGATTTCTGTTGTTTTAAAATTAATGCAAGCTGGGCGTGTTGGTGCACACCTATAATCCCAGCACTCAAGAGGCTGAGCAGGAGGATCGCTGTTGAGTTCGAGACCAGCCTAGGCTACAAAGTTCAAGGCCAGCCTGAACTGCATAGCAAGACCCTGTCTCAAAAAGACAAAATAAATAAATAAATAAATAAATAAAATAAAATTAATGCTTTCCATACTATGACTTTTTGGAAAAAAAAAATTAAGATCGATCTCAAACTGCTGCTGCTGGCCTTTCCAGAGGTGGGCCAAATTACAATTAGATGTATACTCTGAATTAAGGAAACATGGTAAAGAATTTTGGACAAAATCAATAAGCAGGAAAGTGGCAGAATTAAGTAAAAAAAAAATTCTAGTTACTAATATATACTATAATAGGAATAGAGTGACCTGATGGCTCCTTATTCATTAATTAAACATGCAGGGCTTACCTTTTACTAGGCTCTTCCTGAAACACAAAACCATACAGAACACGTGTTCTGCTCTCAAAAATGCAAACCACACCTGTAATTCCAGCACTTTGGAGGCTGAGGGAGGAGGTTTGCAAGTTCAAGGCCAGCCTGGGCAACTTAGTGAGACATGCCCCAAAATAAAAAATACAAAAAAAAAACAAAACAAACAAACAAACTAAACAAACAAACAAACAAAAAAAAAAGCTCACTGCAAAGCTGGGTTCAATTTCCCAGTATCCCCCGAATAAATCTAAAAAAAAAATATGTGTAAATATACAGATCAAGTGAGAAACATAGATCAGAAAAGTAGTAGTCACTTCCAGACAATCTATACGGGGACTCCTGACATACTGTATAGTAAGAACTCAATACCGGCTGACTGCGCGGCTCTTATGGGAGACCTGGGTAAGGCTTTGAAGGACTGATGGAATTGTACAGAGAGGCACTGGCAGAAGGGACTTTAGGAAGAAACAGCAGCAGAACCCAGGGAAAACCCCAGAAATCAGCCACAGAAGCAAGGTGGGGAATAGTGGATAAGAACTAGAAAAGTAGACAGGGACTCTCAGTTATGAGGGAGACTGTGGCAGGAGAACTGCAAGTTTTAAACCTATCTGAGCAATCTACAGATCCGCACCCTAGCCCTCCCCCGCCCCAAAAGGACCGGGGATGTAGTTGGGGGAGGGGGGAAGGCGCTGGAATCAATTCCTAGTACGATGAGAAAAAAAAGATGGGAGTTCATTAAAGGTCACACTAAAAAGAAACAAAACAAAAATATGAAGGAGCAGAGAAGTTACCCTAACATCTGTGTTTCAGGAAGATTAAACTGACAGTGATACACACCTCCAGGCTGAACTGGAGCTGTGAGAAAGTGCTACTCTACACTGTCTATTGTTAGTGTCAGGAATTCAGTGCCTCAACTAGGTTGTAAAACAGCAATGCCAAGAAAGGAGTCTTCCTTCGGAACTGCACAGGGACTATTTTCAGATGAGGGCAAATTGCATGAGAATGGAACCCTGACTTGTTAGTATTTCTTGTTCCAGTACTCTGCACAATACATTCTTTACCTGTAGTAACATCCTCAATTAAAAAGCTGAAAGGCGCCAGGCCTGGTGGCTCATGCCTGTAATCCCAGCACTCGGGAGGCTGACACAGGAGGATCGCTGTGAGTTCGAGACCAGCCTGGGCTACAAAGTGTGCTCAAGGCCAGCCTGAACTGCATAGGAGACCCTGTCTCAGAATGACAAAAAAAAAAAAAAGGCTGAAAGGCAACCTGCAAAGTGGCCAGTCACTCTTCCACTTCTTAAATCCACTCATATTAAGTTATTCTGACATCTGTCTACAATCTTAATTTTCACTGCCTAAATGGCTTTAGAATTCTTTCCTTCTTCTAAATATACCATATATATATATTTTAAAAGTTTATAAATTTGTCACTAAACATAAGCAAATCATTGCTTTACTTAGGATTTTAGAGAAAACCACCCAGTTTCCATTCATACAGCCCCTCAAAAAAACCAACCTTGCTGAAAGACTGTACAAATACAGATTGCAGCTGAAAGTTTTTCTTTTAGGCTACAACCAACACGCTTCCACAGTTCCTTACAGAATCTGCTACACCATTAGTACAACCACAAGATGCTGGCTACATTTCCAAAGTTGTGCAAGGGGTCAAAAGTTGCACAAGAGTCAGCGCTGAAATCAGACTCTGGTATATGAACACACCTAAAAAAGCCTTAGGTTTATTTGTTATGTTTAAAGAAATGCCCAAGTCGCAGGTATTAACAAAATATTTTACGAGTTTATTTGCTTACCTGTTATATTAAGTGAAAATTACTGAGAACATCTGAAAATCAGTACTTGTGACCCAGAACTTAACACAACTACAAAATTTAGCGTGCCCAGCATAAGCATACACGCACACACACATATCCAAAGCATTGACGCCCTATATTACTATCAAATCAAACATCAGCTTACCCCTATCAAGTCTTTTTTCCTGCTTTAATAACCCAAAAAGATTAGCCAGCCGTCAAAGCACGCGATGTGACTTATTCTGAATCCGGAGTCGAGAGTGTTACAAATAACCATTGTAAAGGGGATTTTCTCTCCTCGGCGGGCTGTCCCACTCCGGAGCGCCCGGCTCAGCCGAGGCCGAGGTGTGCAGCCTGGAGGTGGGACGAGTCGGGAACTCAAGCTCCCGGGTCTCCCTCTCCTTCCCGCGGCCGCAAAGGGACCGGAGCCGGGGGCCAGGGGACGCGGCGCAAGCTCCCGAGCCCGGCCCCGACGTGCAGGGTGAGCAGCCCCTGCGCTCAACACCTGCCCCCCGGCGTCGAGAGGCCGCCACGGCCCTGGCCTGCAGGGACGGCCGGGCGGGAGCCGAGGCCCGGGCCTGGCCAGGCCGCGGCGGCTCGCAGTGCCCACGTCACCAGCTCCAGCACTGCGGAAACGGGGCCGCGCGGCCGGCAGGGAGGCGCCGGGCGGAGTCTCTGTCCGCGCCGTTCGCTCCTCAGGCCCGGCCGAGGGCCACCGCACCCGCCCTGCCGTGCGCGGGCCCTTACCTGTGTCGCCGATGATGATATACTTGAAAAGATAGGCGTACGCCATGGCCACGGCCGCTCGGTGCCAGGGCACACGGCTCCTCCTCCTGCTACTGCTCCTCCTCCGCGCCGCTCACCCGGCCCCGCTCAGCCTCCGAACGCCAGGCCCCGCCCGCTGCCGCCCTGGCCGTCAGCCGCCGGGACTGGGGGCCGCAGGAGAAGCCGGACAAACTGACACCCCCAAAGCGATGGAGACAGCGCCCAGCCCAACCCAGCCCAGCCGAACAATAACAGCCGCTGCGGCGCCTCCGCCCCGCCTCCGCGCCGACCCGGAAGTGCTGCAGCCGCGGCCGGCGCCACCGGAAGAAAGGGGAGGAGACGCGCACGCCGGCCCTGCCCCCCCGGCCGGATCCCCGCCTCGCGCCGCCGCAGCCCTGCCCCGCGCCCGTCCGCCCGCGCCTCGTCCGCCCGAATTGGCGGGGCCAAGCGCAGGTGGTTCCGGCCCTCCCGAGCGGGTGACCCCGGCGACCCTGAGAAGCTGGGGGAGGGGAAGAGGTTCGGGGCCGCGGGGCACGTGATGGGCGGGCGGAGGTGGCCTGCCGGGGGAGGGCCCTGCCCTGGGGTGGTGAAAAGGTATTTGGAAAGTGAGAACTTCGCGGCTGGAGGGCGGTGGTGCTTCTGTTCGGACCAGGCTGTGACGGTGGGAGTGGAAGTGTTTCTATAAATTGCAAATACATCAGGACGGAAGTAAATCAGGGAGCAATATACTGGTTAGTGGACTACTACGCGGCTCTTAAGAAACAAACCCTACTTTTATGCAAAACCAAGGCAACTCTGCACAAATTCATAGTTCCATTCTATATTTCATGTTGTGTATGAGTGGATAATATAGAACCCGTAAGTAATGCATACGTGACGGCACCTTATGTAATTATTTTTGAGTGGTGCCGGGCGTGGAACCGAGGGCCTTCTTCGTGCTGGGCGGCCATCTACTGCGGAGGCACATCCCCTACCGGATCTTTTTTTTACCACGTGTAAGAAAAGAGGCTACATTTACCTGTGTGTATAATGGATGGGATTGAGGAGGGTAAAGTCTACATGTTGGATTTTTTGTGTGTTGTTTGAAATTTTTTTACACTTTATGAGTTAGCTGCTAAAATACTGTTAAAAGAAAAAGCAAAGTAATTTTTTATTCATCCGGCTAAAATGTATTGAATATGTACTGTTTCATGCATTGCCCGACGAAGCTGGGGCACAGTCCTGTTGTAAAGAAGCGGTTGTAGGGATTGCTCCGTGGTGCAGCTTGCTTGCCTGTTTCCAGCTCAGGGATCCACTCCCAGCACGACGACGAAGAAACAAAAAAACACATACACACAGGTTGTGGAAGATGTAGAGAACAAAGGTGTTGAAAGGGACCGGAAAGGTTATCTAGAGAAAATGACTTCTGAACCAGAAATATGAAAGATCAGTGAAAACTTGTCAAAAGGACAAAGGTTTGGGGAAAACACCTGAATTTTGAGGATGAAGAGCAGGCTATGCAAAGTTCAGGTCTCCGTTCAGGGAATTTAAAGGTGTGTAAGAAGCCAATTTACTAACCGGTATTGTTATGGTTGATACATTGTGTCAATTTGAGGTGTGTAAGAGGCCAATTTACTAACCGGTATTGTTATGGTTGATACATTGTGTCAATTTGAGGAGTCTAGAAGCTCAGCTAAGTAACTCAGCAGTTCTACATCAAGTGGTGTAAAGGACCGCCCTGTAGTGCTCTAGGTCAGCTTGACAAGTTTAGAAGTTTAAGTGATTCAGCAGAGGGCCAGGGTCCTCATTTTGTAAACATCTTGAGCCTGTGCAAGAGGAGGGTGGTGTGGGCAGGTAGCCTGCATACAATGTAAGGGAGGAAAATTGGCTCCCCGCCCCTTTTGCTCTTGTTGCTTTTGCTGTCATCCACCAGCCTGAAATGTTGCTCCAGTGCCCTGCCACCCTGCCTTGGAGCACAGCTGATTACAGACTAAAATCTCCACAAACTGTGAGCTAAAAGAACCTTTCCTTCCATTATTTTGGGCATTAGGTATTTTGTCACAGCAACAAGAGAAAAATAACCAAGACACATATCCTTTACTATTTGGCAGCAGAAAAAAAATTTCTCCTGGGAGAAGTGACAGGGATTTAGTGATCCTTGTTCCTACTGCCTAATATTTTCCACTTTCTTTTGGGATCTCTCATTGTGTAATTACTACTGACACCTTTACACTGGGCTGACTGGTTACTGTATGGTTTAGATGGTTTTGCCTATGTGAAATGAAGATTTTTCTGGAATATTTGGAGGTACTTTTACTGAAGTTCTAGGGGTAGCACACAACGATTTGACCTGAAAAGTGACCTGGAATTGCATATCCGAGTTCACTTGTCTAACTTGGAGGACAAGAGAGAGGGATCCCTGCCCAAGGGCTCCAGTTCCAGAAGCTATTTTCTACTTATGTAAGTGGCTTCACTCAAATTTTCCTGGTGGTGGATGAAATAGTCAAATCCATATTTTCAGGGCTGTAGGCTTTATGGTCACAACCTAATCAGGCCAGCTGTAATAGGATGTTACACAGAACGTAGCACCCTAGCACCCTTGCCAGGTGTGATGGTGCACACTTGTAATCTCAGCACTGGCAGCTGAGGCAGGAGGACTGCTGAGAGTTTGAAACCCTGTCTTAAAAGAAAAAAAAAAAAATAGCACCCTTAAAAGAAGCAATCCCCTACTATTAGAGGAGATCACTAACTGGGTAAATCTCTTGTGTGAGGCCATGAAGGGCCTTTTTGCCACATTAATAGTGATACAGGAAAATAAAAACTCCCAACCTGAATGATATCTGGGACGAGTTCATGTTCTCTAAAATTGAGGAATGAATTTTAGGAACAGTGGAGGTTAAGAGCAGAATGTATTTATTGAGGGAAAGAAAAGAAAGCTTCTGTCCAAGAGAGGGACAGAAGGGGGGCCCAAGTGGGTTACCCCCAGACTCTGTCTTTTTTAGGGACTTTTATAGAGCAAAACCACAAGGTGAGGTGGGTCCAAAGTAGGGGAAAATGGACAAAACTATGGTCAGCCAATAAGAATTGTTCAGGTAAAATTGATTAAATTGGCATCAAATGGGAAGTAGTCACATAGCAAGCGGGCATGAATACAGAACAGGGGCTTTTCCTGTAAGGGGTTGGGTCAAGGACTTTTCAAGGTGATCGCTACCTATTTAGAATATCATCCCTGATGTCCATCCCTAGGGAGGTATGTGGGTGCGTTTGTTTAGTTCTTTGTGTTGAAATCTGGCCCACAGCAAATATATATCTTCATGTTGGCTCCTTTGAGGGCCTGGCCCTGTCTGGCTGCCTATAATATTTCTATCTAACTCAGTTGCCTCTAACATTTCCCCTTCTGAAGAAGTAATCCGAACTACTGTGAGGGAGTAATGGGTGATGACCGCTCTCGCTTCTTCAGGCTGAAAGGAGTCATAGTTGTTGATTGGCAGTCAGAGATACTCTTCAGAGAGTCTATCTAAAGGCCTTGGATAGACACCAGGTGTTTTCATCTTGGGTAGGCATATAGCTTTAAATCTGGAGAAGACAAAGCCAAAGAAACAATTAAGTATGTATGGGTCAAATAATAAGATCAGCAGGATTATTATGAATATAGTCAACAAAGATTTCCACCACTGGTAATGGCCTCCCATAGAGAGGATAAGTTCAGAGCTATGAGCTCCACTAATGAAGCACTAGTCCAAGGTGTAAGTGAGGAACTTTGAAGAGTCTGGTGTAGAGTTACAACTGCATACCCTGCCTGCCTTGTCTCATTTTCCATGAAGGAGCTGCCATCACAGAAAAGGGTCAAATCAGGGTTAGTAAGGGGTGTGTCTAATAAGTCTTCTTTAGCTGCATATGCATGGAGAATTACCTATTTACAATCATGTCTGTCAGCCTCAATTTCCTCCTTTTCTGGCAAAAAGGTAGCAGGGTTTAAGGAGGAACATGTCTTTATTGGAATGGGTGGTCCTTCTAGAGGTAGAGCCTGGTATTTAAGAAGTCAGCTGTCTGATAGCCAGAGGATCCCTTTGTATGAAAGAAGTCCTGCCACATTATGAAGCATATATGCAGTGAGATCTTTTCCAAAAGTTAGCTTGGATGCTTCTGGCACTAAGAGAGTTACAACTGCCATAGCTCTAAGGCAAGGAGACCATCCCTTTGCTACAATGTCTAATTCATGACTCAGATACCCTACAGGCTGTTGAGTGGGTGCCAGATCCTGTGTAAGTACTCCTAAAGCCATACCTCGCCTCTCATCGACATGTAAATTGAAATGGTGTCCTGTGGGGAGGCTTAGGGCTGGAGCATTTAGGAGAGCTTGTTTAAGCTTCTGGAATGCTGTTTGGGAATCAAGTTCCCAGGTTAAAATATGGGTATCTGTCTTTTGGGCCTCTTTTATAAGTTGATAAAGGTGTCTTATAATTTCCTCATATCCTGGTATCCAAAGGCAACAAAAACCTGTAATTCCTAGGAATCCCCTTAGCTGTTTTAGGGTCTTGGGCTGTGTGAAGGAAAGAATTGGTTTAATTCTGTCCTTTCCTAGCCTTTGGGTTCCCTTGGATATAATGAGGCCTAAATATTTTACCTCAAGACTGCAAAGTTGTGCTTTAGATTTTAGAGACTTTATAACTTTTGTCTGTTAGAAAATTTAGCAAAACATAGGTGCCTTGGCTATAGTGCTCTTCTGAGGGGGCACATAAAAGAATGTCATCTCCATACTGTAAGACTGTTACCTGGGAAAACTCAAAGCATGCCAAGTCATAGGAAAGCACTTGCCCAAAAAGATGTGGAGTATCCCTCAACCCTTGGGGAAGCACTGTCCACATCAGCTGAGAGGCCTGGTCATGAGGATCCTCAAAAGCAAAGAGAAACTGGAAATCTCTGTGTAAAGGAATACAAAAGAAAGCATCTTTTAAATCGAACACTGAAAACCAACTGGCATCTTCTGGAATTTGAGAAAGGAGTGTATATGGGTTAGGTACCATTGGGTGAATTAGTACTACTGCCTCATTTATCAATATAAGGTCCTGTACTAATCTCTATTCCCCATTGGGTTTTTGAATTCCCAGGATGTGAGTGTTGCACAGGCTATTACAGGGCCCAAGTAAGCTTTGTGCCCTTAGATTATCAATTACAGGTAATAACCCTTTTTTAACTTTAGTTTTTAAAGGAAATTGTCTCTGGTTAGGAAAAATAATAGAATCTCTGAGATGTATTCATACTGGAGCAGCTCTTAATGCCCTACCTATTATGCTTTTAGTTGCCCATACTTCAGGATTTATTTCTGTCTCCATGAGGGGAAGACAGTGTACGATACTGATCTGGGTGCATATATATTACAGTATTTAAAGAAGATAAAATATCTCATCCTAAGAGAGGGACTGGATTTTCAGGCATTATCAAAAAGGAATGTGAAAAGAGAAAGCCATCCTAGTTACAGCCTAAGGGTTGTGAAAAATAGCAAATTACCTTCTTTCCAGTGACTCTTTCACTGAGGTATGACAGCTGGAAGGAAGGCCAGGATTGAGAAGAAGGACCAACAGACTTGTGCCAGTGTCCAGCAATAGGCTAGTTTCTCTTCCCTCTATAGTCATGATTACCCAGGGCTCCTCTGTGGAGATGACAGTCGGGACAGAGGGAGAGGGCAGAGAGTGCCCCGGGGCCCTTAATTCCTGCTGGACCAACTGGTAGGATGGGTCTGAACTCTGGGGCCTTCCCTTCAGAGGGCAGTCGACATCCAGTGGTCACCTTTGCAGTTAGGGCATGGCCCAGGGAACTTCTTAGAGCAGTCCCTCTTAAGGTGACCTGGCTTCTGACAGTGGTAGCAGATGAATGGAGTCCTCAAGTTCTTCTTCGGGCCCCGAGAATCAGACTTAGGATCTGTTTCCCTTAGTGCTGCAGCGAAAGCAGCTGCTTTTTCTGTCTCTCTTTTTTTTCCCTTGGCTTCCTCCTCATCGCGGTTATAAAATACTGAGGAGACAGTTTTTACTAACACATCAAGTGAGCTATCTGGAGCAAAAGCCATTTTTTGTAGCTTTTTTCTAATATCTGGGGCTTACTGAGTAATGAACTTACCTTCAAGAAAAATTTGTCCTTCTACTGAATTAGGATCTCGGGAAGTATGTTTTATCAATGCCTCTTGTAAAGGATCTAAGAAAACAAAGGGGTGTTCCCTTTTTTCATGTTGAACCACTGACAGTTTAAAATAATTGAATGGCTTAGCCCTTATCCTGCTTAGACCTTTAAGAACACGTCTGAAAATGTCTCCTACTCCAATCTCCCATATAGTCGCTAGGCCAGTAGGGGTCTTGGGTAGGGACGGCTTGGGCTCCAGTGGGAACTGGTAGTTCCCCTGGCTCTCTTTCTTCTGGTCTTCTGAAATTAATAATATGGTATTCATCTCCAAATGCAATAGCAGCCTGTAACGCTGCCTGTTTCTCATTAGAGGTCAATGTTTGATTTAAGAGTAACATTACATCTTTCCAATCTAGCTCATAGGTCTGAGTGAGGC